GAGCTGGGAGTGTATTATCGTCCGCTGAGGGTAGAAATTCCAGAGATGCTCTATTACGGACCAATCAGGCCCTGGCTCCCAGAGATGAAGAAACCAGATGCCAGCACAACCAGGTGCCAGGCGTCTACCCAGGGGTGGGAGCTGACAAGCATTATCTCATCGCCCTTCATGTGTCCACAGAGAAGAAGATTAGAGGAAATATCTTCAGGGTCAGTGGGTTCGTCAGCAACAAGGGAACGATTTCAGGGCGCAGAGAAGGTGGAGCGGTGATGCCAGCCAGTCGCAGAGGAGCTGGCCACGGGCAACAGCGTTTCTCGGAATCCCTCAGAACACCGCCTTCCTGCCTCTGTTCGTGTGTGTTCACACTCCGAACCCAGCAGGCAGAACTGTTGCATTCATGTACTGCTCCTACTGTAAATGTGAGATGATGAGGTGCATTCTCTTCCTTCTAAGAGTCTAACGGTTATTTGAAAAGAACAGCTACTTACCAAATTGTTGTTCGATGCCAGTGACTGCAGGGGCAGGATCCATGCAGGTGTAGACAGGGGTCATCCGGACACTAAGATAAAGGTTTGCGACTCGGTGAGCTCACCTCCTTGCTGGGAAGTGACCGTCATTTCATCTGTAATTGCGCGGACAGTCTCTGCCGAGGGATCTGAGATTATTTCTGAAAAACATCTGTGGTTTGTGCGCAGCACTGAGAGCATTTAATGTTTATCAGTAAAGTTACCCAAGAGGGTGAGGTGAACAGAAACAACTAGAGGGAAGTCTTACTTTAGGTGTCTCAAAGATGATGAGGCGTTCATGGGACGTCAGCAGAAGACCCTGAAGTCTGAGAAGGAAGAGAATGAAGCAGAATACAATGCTTGATTCCTGCCTTTACGGTCTTTATTCCATTCTCCAAAATTATCACTTGTCACTAAGAAACCCACACAATGGCCTTGAGGTGAGCGAGAGGAAGCAGCAGGGACAAATTGCCAGAGGCCACACACCACTCACGTGTGGTTTAGCACACACGTGTAACTCCTCTGCGCCCGGTAGTTTTCTAAACCATCAAGATGTACAAGGAAACCAACTAGGCAAAGAATCCCTCAGAAAGCTTACATTCTCCTTGAGGATGAGACACAAACACAGGTCATTTGGTGATCATTCATTGCTGTGGACAATGAATACGGAGTGAGTGGTGAGTGCCGTAGGGAGGCGGGCATGTGCGGCCGTTGTAACTAGAATAGGAGGGGAGGGGTATCCCGGATCACAAGACATCTGACAAAGACCCGGAGGTGAGGGTGAGGGGTTGAGCCAGGTGTATGCCTTGTTTCCAGGCAGAAGAAGCAACCAGCACAAACACCCAGAGAGGCCAGAGCCCATGTGGTGTGTCCAGGGAAGGGCGAGCAGGGTGATGCGGCCAAAACCAGGCCATTTCGGAGGAGAGGGTGGAGAGACCGAGTCAGCGGTGAAGTGTGTGGGCACCTCAGGGGAAGCCACAGCCCATACAAGGCCTTGACCGGAAGCGGTGCACAGCCACTCTGTGGGGGATGGACGTGGAAGGGGCTGGAAGCACAGAAACCATTTAGAAGGTTCTGAGTGTGAGATGGTGAGGGTGCCAACTTGGAGGGAATGAGGTTGGTGATTAAAAGCGGTCACACCTGGGGACGCCCGGGGGCTCAGTTGGTTAAGCGTCCAACTTCAGCTCAGTTCATGATTTCCCGGTTGGTAGGTTTGAGCCCCACATCGGGCTCTGTGCTGACAGCTCAGAGCCTGGAGCCTGCTTTGGATTCTGTGTCTCTGTCTCTCTCTGCCCCTTCCCTGCTCGCACTCTGTCTCTCCATCTCTCTCAAAAATAAGTAAACATTAAAAAAAAAGTTCGTTAAGTGGTCAAACCTGGGTAAATTCTGAAGCCTATGGGACAGAGGTGAAGAGTGAGAAAGTGAGGACCCAAGGGTGAGTCTGGGAATTTTTGCCTGGGCAACTGGAATATGAGTTGTTATCAAAAAGAATAGGGAAGGGTGATGTTGGGGTAGGTTTTTAGGGGATATCAGGAATTTGGTTATGAACCTGTTCAGTCTCCGGTGCCTACTAGACCTTTAAGGATAATGTCAAGTAAGGAATTAGTGCTAAGTCTGAAATTTGGGAGTAGAACCTGGGCTGAACGCATCAATTTGAGAACTGTTGGTTCTCAGATGGTGCATCAGTTATAAGACAGGGTGAGATCCCACAGAAATGAAATAAGAGCTCGGGACATGGAAACAGGGAAATATCAGAAAATACCCTTGAGAGACTGTTGCACAAAAGTAAGAGACGTGGTGGGGCGCCTGGGTGGCTCAGTCGGTTAAGTGGCCGACTTCGGCTCAGGTCATGATCTCGCGGTCCGTGAGTTCGAGCCCCACGTCAGGCTCTGTGCTGACAGCTCAGAGCCTGGAGCCTGTTCCAGATTCTGTGTCTCCCTCTCTCTGATCCTCCCCTGTTCATGCTCTGTCTCTCTCTGTCTCAAAAATAAATAAACGTTAAAAAAAAGAGTCTGTTAAAAAAAAAAAAAAGTAAGAGACGTGGAAGAAGAGGAATCGTATTGGCCCAAAGAGTGAGTGGGGGCTATCACTTATGGGGAAGACAGTATTTAAATGCAGCTTGTCAAAGAAAAGTACAGCATCGGTAGCTCAAACCAAACAAGAGATTTGACCAACCACAGGGTTGGGTTCAGATTGGTCATTTCCTCCTGGAAGTTTTATCCCCTGTGCAGCTCCCACATGACACTGTCTGGCTGCATGCAAATTGAATCTTTAATCACTTGAGAGCAACCATCTCTATCCTGACATGACTTTTTTTTTTTTTAAAGCTTTTTTTAAGTTTATTTATTTTGAGAGAGTCAGAAACAGCACAAGTGGAGGAGGGGCAGAGAAAGAGGAGAGAGAGAATTCCAACTAGGCTCCGTACTCCCAGCACAGAGCCCGATGTGGGACTTGAATCCATGAAGCTGTGAGATCATGACGTGAGCTGAAACCAAGAGTTGGACACTTAACCACTGAGCCACCCAGGTGCCCCCATATCCCGACATGGCTTTTAAAGAAGGATTTTTCGGGCCCCCGGGTGGCTCAGTCGGTGGAGCGTCCGACTTCGGCCCAGGTCACGATCTCACAGTTCTGTATCTACCAGAGATTGACTCCATTACACAAGAGGTTGGTCCACAGACTTCCCCCCTGAATGATCCCGTTATCTATTTTTGACTTTTGCTGAGCTGGCCGTGGGATACCTTTAAGCTTCTTAGGTGCTCTCGGGTTGCAGAGGGGCCTGCTTAGTCACAATCTCTTCAAAGAAATGTCATGTGCCCGCATACTGTTCTTCTGATTTTGCTGAGATCTTACAAAAGGTTGTACAGCAACACCTGTGGCTAGTTCTCCAGAACATGCTTTTCTCACCATGAATCACTTCCTTTCAATGTCTTTTGCAACTAAGACAGGATAAGAATTTCCCAAATCATCAAATCTTGGGTCTTTTCTGTTTAATAGTTCTTCCCTACATTTATCTCTTCCCTATTACATTTTACCATAAATGGTAAGAGACAAGGCCACACATTCAACACTTTGTTTAGAAATTTCCTCAGCTCAAAACGTCCATATAAAGACTTTATATTAACATTTGCAGGAGCTTTGTTTTGAATACTCAGAATTTGGGGGGAAAAAACAAAAGGCAATTCAGATAAAGGGATAAACTGCAGTATATTCCATCAGAGCATTACTCAGCAATGAAGAGAACGAGCTATTTATACACACAACAGGAGTGATTCTTAAAATAAAGCTGCATGGAAGATAGCAGATGATAATAAACTTCTAAGGTTCCACTATAAAGAAGAATCTAGAAAAGACACCTTTATCCATACTGGAAGTAAGTCAACGGTTGCCTAGGGAAGACACAGGAAGTATTAGGAAGGGGCATGAGGTAACTCGGGGGGGTAGGTATGTCCAAAAACATGGCTGGGTGATCCTCAGGTTTGTGCATATGTTAAGGCTTACCAAACGGTACGCTTTAAGTGTGTGCAGTATACTGCATGTGGACTACACCTTAAAGAAACTATAAAAAATGATTCCACTAACATCCAGGTCTTGTGCTTCTACTGGAACACCAGATCGAGCACCAATATAGCGACTCTACCTTCTCTCTCCAAATGCCCTGTGAAGACAGCCTCTTCCTCAGCACTAAGCAAAACTGGCAAGCAATGAAGGCTGTTTGCAAGGGAGTCCCCAGAAGCTCTGGCTGGTCACAAAAACTACAACTTTGGACCACAATGTCTGTGCCAGTTCTTGCCCATGCAGCAAAGACACTGGGTAAAGAGCCAGGGAGGTACAAGTATCAAGGTAAACTTTACATTCTTTGCTCTGCCACTGACCTTGGTCAGAGAGTGACACAGCCCTGGAGATCCTAAGAATTTCCACGCATCCCGATCTCATACAGCCACAGTGATTGGAATGTTTGTGGACGTTTTTAAAATGGGCACATCCACTCTCACTTGCTGCAGTCTCCACAATTCCAATTATTCACACACAGGGCGAAATTTATTTTTGTTTCCTTCCTGGGATGGCAGGTCTTGCAGCCAGAGACTTGGGCAGCAGATCAGATTCTGGCCTTCAGGGCAGCGGGAACTTGGCAGGTCCTCAGAAACAGCTTCCCCTAACAGTGCTGGGAAACGTGGCACCTATGCTGGAAATAAGACACTCAATCCACACTGCTCCCAAACACCGCGAAGGCTGCCACAACCTTCCTCAACACCACCCTCAAATTACGCTGAAATCCAGACAAAATCAGGACCACAAACCCCTGACCTCTCACCTAAAAAGCTTGTGTCAGCAACACCAGAACTGGACTGAGAGTGGTTCTCTGCCAGCCTGCTCTTCCATTTGAGGTACCTGAAGCTGGAGACCCCCACAAGCACCGTTTACCGCTTCCGTTTGGCAGGGCCTACTGTCTGCAAACCAATCCAAACAGTAAAAAGAACGTCCAAGATTAACGATGGTTTAAATAATGTCTTTATTATCACAGAGACCAGAGCAACAGAAGACAAGTGGTTCTCCAGGTGGGGTGACTCGGAGAAAAATGTGTCACATGTACCACATGAGGCCAACAATGTCCATGAAGAAAGTAAAGCTCTTCTGTAAGCCTCCAGAACACAGCTCAGGTCCTCTTGGCTAAAGATGGGTGAGGTCCACACCTTTACCAGTCAGTGGGGAGGGAATGAGGAACCCCATTCAATTCAGGATTCTCATAATTTCCTCCAGAGACTGGAGGTGTCCCTGAGGACATACAGAAACGAAGCTGGTAGAACTGAGATGGTTTCTGCCACAGACATTGGGTGGCAAATTTGGCAAGGAACCTGAGCAGGTCTGCAAGTGCAACGCAACCCATGAAAGTGTCCCTGTACCTGGCATCTTAAGGTCTCTCCCCAGTGCTAATGTTCAGATACATGAGGTTCAACATCTGACTGGTGTCTTCCTCTCCAAGGGCAATCACAAAGCCCCTCTCCATACAAGTCCTGTTGTGTTGAAAGCACTCCTAAAGCCGTCCTGCAGTGTGAACCTTCTGGTGCCGAATGAGGTGGGAGCTTAAACTATAGGCTTTCCCACATTCGTTGCACTCGTATGGCCTTTCTCCAGTGTGAACTTTTTGGTGCCTAACAAGGTGGGATGTTCTGATGAAATCTTTCCCACATTTGCTGCACACAAATGGCCTTTCCCCTGTGTGAACTCTCTGGTGTGCAATAAAGTCAGAGCTTCTACTAAAGAATTTCCCACAGTCGATGCACTCAAAAGGCCTTGCCTCAGTGTGAATTCTCTGGTGTTTAATGAGGGTGTACTTGTGGCCAAAGGATTTCCCACAATCACTGCAAACGTAAGGATTTTCTCCAGTATGGATGCTCTCATGCTGAACAAGTGTGGATTTGTGTCTGAAGACTTTCCCACAGTTGTTACACTTATAAGGCCTCGCTCCATTGTGAACTCTCTGGTGTACGATGAGGTTGGAGTGATGGCTAAAGTATTTTCCACACTCGCTACACTTGTAAGGCATTTCTCCAGTGTGAATTCTTTTGTGCTGAGTAAGATTGTCTTTGCGGCTAAAGGCTTTCCCACATTCTTTGCATTCGTAAGGCCTTTCTCCGGTGTGGATTCTCTGGTGCTGGATAAGTGTGGCTTTGCGGCTGAAGGCCTTCCCGCATTCGCTGCACTCGTAGGGCCTTTCTCCGGTGTGGATTCTCTGGTGCTGGACAAGCGTGTCTTTGCGGTTGAAGGCCTTCCCGCATTCGCTGCAGCTGTACTGCATCTGTCCGCCGTGAGAGGCCTCCCCGCTCCCAGTCCTCCTCTTCTTCTTGCTGTGGGTGGCCTGTCGCTGGTGACTGCCCAGACTGGCCTGGAGGCTCCACTGCTCCTCACACAGAAAGGGCTTTCCCGACAGGTGAGGTTCTTCACAAACCCTACAGTTCTTCCCAGATGAGGTCTTGCCTCTGTCTCTTCTGACAGGTTTCTCTACACTGTACTGCTTCTGATGCTGGTGAAAGTTTGCACTGAACAAGAACTGTCTCCCACATGCCCCACAGGTGTAAGGTTTCAGTCGTTGGCATATTTCCTGGTGTTCATCCAGGTGTAAGAGGTCTTTCACGATGGGGCCACAAATGTCACAAGGGTGAGCCATCTGGGTTGATGAACCTGCCTTGGAAATGCTATCATGGGAGACTCCTAAAGAAACGGTCTGCTCAGAAGGTACCTCTTCATCTTTCGCCGCGCACCAATAACCTGCGGGCAGAAAAATGCTCTTTAAGTGAATGGGGACTTTGGAGAAGGGGCAACCCCATCACACACGTGTCTGGTATTTAGCCCACGGGGGTGTCAGTAGGACAGCAGATGTGGGATCAGGTTAAAGAAAAAGCTGCTGTGCAATACTGGGCCTCAAAGGGTCACAGAATGAGGAAGCCTTCACAAGGGACAAAGACCCAAGGACGGGGTGTAGGTCAGGGAGAACCAGCAAGTAGGATATCCAATTTACTCTTCTGCAGATGATTTTTGAAGGGCCTTAGCTATTGGCGGGCACTACACAGAAATGTATGTCTAGGCCCGGGAAAATCTGATTTAAAATGAGCAACTGGTGTTCAAAAACAATTTAAGAACAGATGTATGTCTCAGACACATCAGCATTGTCCAACACAGGATGGCACTGCAGAAAGAGCAGCAGAGAGCACTGGTGAGTGGGCGTGGACAGCCCTGGGTTGGAGGTCTGGACAGAAACGATAAATAAGTGTCCAGAACGAGGAGAAAAAGATAGAAATAGGTGTGGTTTATAACCTGGGCACCAAACAGGAGTGGTACCCAGGACAGGTTTCTGGTGCTATTTGAAGCCAGCCCCGAAGCTCCCTCCCCACGCTCCCACTCACCAGGGCCTGTCCACGTCCCTCCAGCCATGGCTAGAGTCATGACCTCTCAGTCAGGCACTCAGAGTTCTTTCCCCTGCTATGTTCAGCAACCACAAAAAATCTGGAAGAAACAAGTCGTAGAGGAAAGACAGGGCAAGTAGGAAAGCAGTGGCCCAGAGCAGCCTGCCCACAAGAGATTAAAGGACAATTAAATATTGTAAAATGAACACCAGAAATGTCTTGCAGATCAGCACCATGGGCCCCACGGGCAGTGGCCATGATGACAATTCATGACACAGGTAGGCCCAAGGAAATGCCAATTACACGAAAGGGTAGAATCTGGAGCACAGAGGTTATCACGAATGTGGACAGAGCCACATACAGCCAGGAAAACGGCAAGCAGGGTAGTCCACAGGACTGACCACAGGGACTGAAGGAGGCAGTTCACACAGCTGAACCCCGGCACCCAGAAAACCTGTGTTAGGGAGGGAAAATGGCAGTGCCCACAACAGCTTCGGGAAGAAAATGGCAACCTCTGAGGGAAAACAGTAGAGCACAGCCCAGAAAACTGGGGTACGTGGGGCCTTACCCAGGAAGACCGTGTGACTCAAGTCTCTGGGCCACTCTTCCCAAGAGAAACACACAAGCACATCCTTCAAAGTCACATGACCCTGAGTGACATCAATACCTGAACACGGGGGCAGCAGCTCTCCCCAGGACTCCTGGCCTATCCACCACACCTTCACTTTCCTCCTCAGCTCCCCAACTCAGACAGGATACCAGGCCCTTGTGTGATCGGTGCCGGCTCACTCGTTCCTCATTTCCTAGTAATCATTCTGTCCAGCCCAGAACAACAGGTGGGGGACAAACAGACACTTCTGCCAGCTAGTTCCCCTGGTCCGGAGATCACGCCTCTTACATACAAACGTGAGCTCAGAATTCTCCTCTAAAGCCCCCCAGGCTATGAACTCAGATTCCACCTCCAGTACACATCACTCTTTAGACCGCACCTCCCTCAGGTCTACGGATACCCACAACACAGGTACCTCCCACGTGCAAATGTGCACACAGCACCCACAGAATTCTTGGTTACTGCAGCCAAGATCACATCTGGCTCCAGCTGATGGTTCCCAGTGCCGTGTTATCTCTAAACCCAGCTTTTAAATCCTCCCTTCCTGGCCCTATTCTTTGATTCGATTTCAGCAATCCGGAACCCCATATAGACATCAGATAAGCCCAGCCCCTTCCCACTTTGCCGTTACATACCAAGGATGCCATATCCTCATCAGTCGGGCTTAACACTTGACATACCTTCTCATTCAGAGCCCGCACCCACTGGCCTTGTACCCCAAGCACAGTCACTCTGCCAGCTGACCCAATCAGCCTCTGAGCTAATCTACCTCTGAGTTTGGCAGAAACTCCCTAGGTCCCACTACAGGTCACCAGGAAAGCCTGGGAAGCACCCAGGAAAGGAAACGGGTGCCTGCTTTGGCCTCACTTTCATCTCCTCTCTGTTACTGCTACGCCCCAGCACTCATCTCATGTCTCCCCTCTCTGGAAGACTCCCCCCACCCCACCAGACCCTATTATCTCCCCCACCATGGACACTACACTCCCTTTATCCCTTAAGTGACTCCCTCTCTGCCGTGTCCACCCCCCTCCAGACCCTTAATGGTACTGCCACTGTGACAAAAAGATCCTCTCTATAAATCTGACACGCAGCTGTACTCTAATCCATATACTGGCTGCCACTTTGTGGACTTGGATCCCTCCTGCGAAATCCAAACGTGTGCGTCCAGCTGCCTACCTGAAACCTCCACTCAGATGTCTTTAGACGCTACAGACTCAACGTGGTCAAAGCCCAACTCCTGATATTATTTCCGGAAGTTACTCCCACCACCAACTTCGCTGTCTCAATTGAGAATTTTTCCACCCTTATACCTTCTCACGCCAAAAACTGTGGGAGCTGTGAGGTCATCCCTGAGTCCTCTCCTTTCTCTCACCATCCACATCAGAAAGTCCGGTTGGCCCTACTTAAAGAGACACAAAAAACAAACCCAGAATCCAGCACCCGTCCCTCACCTCCAGAACCACCAATCTAGTCCAGCCATCAACAGTCTTCTTTCCTCACCCCAATCTTCTTCACCGTGCAGCCAGAGAAAGCCTGTGAAGACCAATCGGATCACTCCTCTGCTCTAAACCTTCCATGGCTCCCACCACTCCCAAAACAGAAGCCCAGCTCCATAGGCTGCTGTTCCAGAGTTGAATTCTGTCCCCTGCTCGCTGATCACACCAAACATAACGGAGACCTGAGGCTCCCTGAACACTAGCAGTTCAGCCTCCAGGGATGTTTTTGCCCAAGCTTGTTCCTATACCTGGACACCGTTCCACACTTCATGCCACTGCACCAAATTCAAGGTACAGACCGTTAGTGACACCAGCATCCCCACACCCAAAGGCAAATACAAGGGAGGTGAACATTGCTAAGACACCAGCATTTGCCACACTGGGTTACCAAGATCATGGGCAAGTGCACTGACTGAGGACCGAGGACTCACCTACGCAGAGATCCTAAGTGCTTGCACCATCAATCAAAGCAACCCGGCAGTAAGAGGGAAGAGGGGGCTGAGGACGGCAGGCCACCACACGGGGCACCACCGACCGAACGATTCCTGTAACCCCTGCCCTGCCCTTCCGCGCCCACGATTTCTGAATGTCTCACCTCAGATACTAAGACCTTAGTGCCGCCTCCGCCCAGCTGTGCGAACAAAGACCGGTGTCACCACGTCCTCACCGGTAAAGCAGACAGTGGTGGTACCCACCTAAACAGGGCTGCTGTTTGGGTCACACACATTAACACAGATCAAAGATCTTTGAATTGGCTTTTTACCCAAATGGTTTTGGTGCAAATGAAGTGATGGGATTTTTAAATTGGGGATTTCTTTTTCAGCTTTTCAGAAAACGTGATACTTAAGACTTTCCATCATAATCAGACAGAGGCAGGCGCTTTGACCCGTCACTGGGCATCAGTATCCACTTAGAGCTACTCACGTTAATCTTCGCCCACTTGCTCATGCGAGTCAGGTGTACCCCTGTCCCTTCACCAAACCGGCCTACTGGTATACCCTCCTCTGCGGAGTCTGCGGGCCGCCCCTCTAAGACGTCCACGGTCTCTCCTTACCTGAACAGCTGGGGAGCTGGTGCACCAGCGCCCTGGACTGGGCTACGGCGGCTCCCCCCGCCCGGCTGACTCTCCCCTGCTCCGCGCGCAGAACCTTTGCTGGGTCCACACACCGGCCAATCTGGAGCGCCTCACACCTGCCCCTGCATCCCAGGCCAGGCTCCTCACACCCTCCGGCCCTCTCCTCCTCCAGCAGGGACTCTCCCTGGAGGGAATGAGGGCGTCCACCCCCTCCTCCCTGCCCTCCGATCTCTCACCCCAAGGACCACACACGACACACACATCCTTAATCTTCTTCCCCCGAATCTGGCCTCCCGACCCGAGGCCTCATCCCTCAGTGGTCTCCACCCCAGCCCCCTCCCCAGATGCCCGTGGGACACCTCCCCTGCGAGGCGCCTCGGCTGTGCCACGTCCCGAGCGCAACTCCCGACTCCTGCGGGGCAGCTCTCTGCCGCACTCTCTCGGACCTCCGGGGAGAAAAACCGGACACGGACCTGTGACAGCCCCTGACTCCTACTTTCAGAGCAGCCGTCACCCGACATCCGACATCCGACACTGAGGAAACCCTGCCAACCACGTCTCCACCTGCAACCTCTCCAGCCGCCACAACACTCCCGGAGTCCGAAGCTCCTCACCGGTCCCCCGGAACCCAGATCGCCTCACGCTGCTCCGCGGCTCCCCCGGCCAGTCCACGCAAGGCTTCCGCTCGACCGCTACCCACCCCTGCAAACACGACGGCTCCACTTTCCCCGGCCCTCGCGGCTCATCGCCCCTCCAAGCCTCTGCGCGTACCGGTCGCTCGGCCAGGACCACTTCGACGGCGGGACAAACGGGGGCTCCTCCCACAGCGGGCCCCCGCGGCCCAGAGCACTGGAGGCTGGGCCGCAACCGCCTCAACTACCACCACCCTTCGTTCGAGGCTTCATGATTCCGAGCGCAGGGACGAAACGCGTCAAGGTCCGGGGAACAAAGTACCCACCTAGGCCGGATCCACCAACCGCGGCCGCCATCACAATCTGGAGGACCATACGGGGCCGTGAGGAGTCCCAGGTCGGGACCCGCGCGCCGCCGTCGCGGGCAGCGGAGCCTTCGCGGGCGCTGCCACCGCCGAGCCTCCCTGCGGCGAGCACAGAGTCTCCTCCCGTGTCCTCCCGCTTCCGTCACTCCGGGCCGAACCAGCGATCCCGCGGCTCTAGTCCGAGCGGCCCACCGAGAGCGGACAAAATGTCCGCCGCGGGGAAGACACCGGAAGTCCCGCCCAGTCGCCTTCCGCGCGCTTTTAAAGAGTGCCACCAAGCAAGGCGCAGAGGCTTCTGGGTAATGTGGTTCTCCAGAACAATTGGCCCCAGACACCCGCGGACTCGCTCCCGGCCGGGGTGGGGCCCAGTGGTCCCGCGAGGGGCGCTGGGAAATGGTACCTCGAGGCTCCGAGGATGGAACGGGGGCTTCGCTCCTCACAAGGAGCCGGGTGTATTATGCGGAGGTCAAAGAAATGTTTGGAAACGTTCTTGTGGCTATTTCCCAAAGCCACAAAACCACGTGGACACATCTCATCAAATGTCAGTTCGAGTGCACTCAGTGCGCTCCTATTTCCTTGCTGGTTTTTAAATCCGTGTAGATGAAAATTTTAAGTTTGGGTGCTTTGGCTGGGTCAGGGGTCAGGGGTCAAATCTGCAGATTGCCTCTGGGGAGGAGGCAGGAGGGTTATTGTGTCCAGGGAGGCACTTTCTTGCAGGTGGAGGTGCTGATGGAGGGCAACCCAGGCAGCAGCACCCTTTAATTCAAATGATCCTTCTTAGCCCAAAAGCTGATATACTGATTCCCTCTAGGAATATGCCACCCATCTGGAAAGGACCATTATAAATGCTTTTCAATGTGCCAGGACGGTGGCTGACGCGGTCCTGGTGGCAGCAAATGTGCGAAAGTGACTGTCTGAACCCAGAAATAAAGATTTGGAACAGCATGATCTCATTTCTTTGCTAGGAAGGGATTTCTGATGTGGAAATGTTGGGGTTCAGAGCTGATGGCCAAGAAAGAATTCTTCAGATGTCTTTGGTGCAAAAAGGTGGTTTTATTAAAGCACAGGAACAGGACTCAGGGGCAGAAAGAGCTGCATTGGGGTTGTGACAGGTGATGATTATATACACAATGTTTCCAGGGCCCTGAGGGGGCTAGCCGCTGTTAGAAACCTTGTTACATTTATTACTGTTTAGTAAAATGTCAGTCATGAGACCCTTCAGATGTTACCAGTAGGCGTATGCTTGGAGTATGACTGCCAACATATACTTTGGGGGCTAGGGATAAAGAAAATTTCCATAGGAATTTCTAAATGCTTACAGTAGCCTCACAGGATCCTTGAGGTGTGGATAATGTTAAGCTAAGATTGCCTTGTGACTTTAGCAAAGTGTCAACATCAAGGCAGCTGAGTGCCTAGTGGAAGGTCACTGCCTGTTTCAAGGACTTGTCAATGGGCTGTAGACAGTAAGGAAATTTAATTTTTTTCTCTTGCCTTTGTTTCCCACATCAATTTTCACTTCACTTGCAATTACAGGGACAGTGTCTGAATTGAGAGTACAGATTATTTATGGTAAAGGAAGAAGAAGAGGAGAGGGAGGGTGAGTGGAGGAAGAGGAGGAAGGAGGGAAGGAGAAAGGAAGGGAGGATGGGAAGAAAAAAAGAAGGAAAGGAAGAAAAAAAAAAGAAACATGAATAGTTTAAACTACTGAAAGCTATTAATATAGTTCTGTAGTTCACAGATATACTCAAAAATGGTTCTGGGGGACATACCTTTGACAGGTGAAAGATGGCAGCAAAAACTGAGCTGGAAACACTGAAGTCTGAGAGGTAAGAAAATGAAGCTGAGCACACAGTGGGTCTGAGACACTGAATACAACAGGGTTTAGTCTCCAAAATGTAATTTCTTTCCAATCTTGAAAACTCTGATTATCTACTCTGAGGGAGAATGAAAACATTTAGAAAGATGAACAAGGATACTGTAATACCATGCTTATTCACGGCTCTAACAAACATTCGATAAACACCTACTGCATTTCAACCCCTATCTCTTAAGTACATGGAACAAATTTGAAAACAAGAGACAAAGACCTCAGCCATCAAGAAGCTTACACTCTACAGTATTCATGAAAGATGGGAAGAAATATGAAATATGAAAAAAAAACACTGAATTATGTACAATGTTGGAATGTGTTAGGCACAATAGAAAAAGAAGATGAGGGTGCCGAGAAATGGGTCATGAGATGTAGTATTATACAGCTGAGGGAGGCTGATTTGGGCCCAGGTCTTACTTTATAAAGGCGACTTAGTGACAGCATGGACAGGTCAATGACATTGAGAGAAAAGTTTAATGTTATTCACTGTGTCCCTAGAAATGAGAGGCACAGCATACCATGAAAGGTCACAGAAGGAACGCTGGGATTTGTTTAGGAGGCAGAAGCAGGAGCCAAGGAAAGGCCTAGCCCAGAGCCTTTGCTGTGTTTTCCATGGGAAAGGCAGGGCAGGGCAGAGCAAACAGCTGAGAATTGGCTACTTTGAACAATTCCAGTGGACTTCAGGTTATAGGGGTGATCTCTAGTTGCCTGATACCTGGCCCTGGGATGATTTAGGGCATGCAATTTTCTTCAGGAAACACTTAAATGAGTCAACATTCCTAGGTAATGGAGTGCCCCATTCAAGGTAAGCCACTAGGTACTTTTATAAAACCGAGCCCATTAAAAATATAAACACAGTTAAACTTCTTAAAGAGAATGTGCACATTTTCGATTAGAGGACGATGGGCTAATGAAGAAAAAGAACAGCTCTTTTTTTGAGGCACAATAATTCTCTTGAATTTACTAGAGGACAGAAAGGTATCATCATTTATCATACATAACAAACATGTTGCTTAAATATATTGGACTAAAATGATTATTTAGGAGTGCCTGGGTGGCTCGGTTGGTTAAATGTCTGACTCTTGATTTCAGCTCAGGTCATGATCTCACAGTTTGGTTGGTAAGATCAAACCCCATGTAGGGCTCTGCACTGACAGTGTGGAGCCTGCTTGGAATTCTCTCTCTCTCTCTCTCTCTCTCTCTGTCTCTCTCTCTCTGTCTCTCTCTCTCTCTCTCTCTCTCTCTCTGCCTGTCCCCTGATCACTCTCTCTCCCTGTCTCTCAAAATAAACTTTAAAAAATTGTATTTATATAATTTAAGTACAGGTTTTATTTTTACATACATTAAACTGTATTTTACATGAGGTACTCTCAAAAATACAACAAATAAAATTAATTTTAATACAATTTTAGTTATAGACATCATAGAAATGCAGAATTGTACATTTACCCACATATACTTTTTAATTACTAAGTATTATGTTTATGAAGTTAGTCATCATAAAAGTCAAGTGATTAAAGATGTAAAATAAAAGTGAAATGAAATGAAACTCTTTGAAAGTTTCTTTTAAGTACCAACAACTGACAAAATTTTCTAAAAATTGATTTTATTTCACAAAAAATAATATTCTAGGTCTATTAAAGAAAACCAGGGGCACCTGGGTGGCTCAGTCAGTTGAGCATCCGACTTTGGCTCAGGTCACAATCTCAGTGTTTGTGAGTCCAAGCCCTGCATCAGGCTCTGTGCTGACAGCTCAGAGTCTGGAGCCTACTTCGGATTCTGTGTCTCCCTCTCTCTCTGCCTTTCTCCCACTCATGCTCTGTCTCTCTCTCTCTCTCTCTCCAAATTAAATAAACATTAAAAAATTAAAGAAAACCAGAGCTGAACAGTAGTTAAAGCAGTATAAGCAGATTTTAATAAGGAACGATTGTAATGGGGGGAAAGAGACCTCGGTATAGAAAGTAGCTCAATTCCAAATACAGCATGAACAACTAGGGGTTCATAGCCAAGAAGCAGTGTGGGAGTCAGTGGATGGAAAGGTACTAAGGGGAAACTTCATGGGTAAGGGGGATTCTTGCTGAAAGCAGGCCATGGTGATCAGTACCAACTGGGGGATGGTGGGATGAGCAATTTGATGAGATATTCAAGGAGCTATTAAGCAGAGGTGGATTCTGCCTACATCAACTTAATTGGATTCTTGCTACAATTGGGCAATGCAAAGATGGGCACAGAAGTCCAAACGTTGAGGTCTAGTTGGGAATAGGATTCTGAGGAGCCTACTAAAGTTTGGTCAAGGAGAAACTCGTTGTCAGCTCTGACCCCTAAATATTGCTGAATTGGAAATGCA